TCTAGTACATGACGAGTCTGTGACATCAAGCTGATGGAATTCAACTTTGAGACCCTCTTGGTCCTTCAAGGTTTTAACTGCCTCAAGGCCAGCATCTACATTTCTAGCTATAAGAACAACCGTTAATCCGTGAATCGCAAGCTGTCTTGTGAGTTCGAGTCCAGTTCCTCGGTTCGAACCAATCACCACTGCTACCTTTTCACAAGACCACTATCTACAAACCATTCAATGCCTAATCACAAGTCAAATTCAATAACATAGCTTCAAAAGACAAATTTTTTTCACATGTTCACCATCTAAACACGGCATATCAACCAAGACCACTAAGTAATCTCCAGAATTTAATTTTCTTCACCATCGATTTGACGAAAGTACCTGCAGATCTCAAAGCAAAACCCATAATCTGAACAAAGCTGTTTAAATTTCAAATTTGAAAATTGGATTTCATCGAACAGAGAGATAGATCCACTCGAGGTCTTCTCAATCGATTTGTTAAACGAAATCCTTCCAGATCGTATTCAACGAATCGATCCTCGATTGCTTCTGTGTAAATTCCGATTCAAGTTTTCTGATTGTGATTTCGTAAGTTCTCATCAAACTCGGTTGCTCTTGTTCCGATTCAAGTTTTCTGATTGTCGATTTACTATGTAAAAGCTATGATTTTCGAGAGAGATGACGATGGCGATTAGCTTTTGCGAGAGAGAAGATTGAGACATTTTTCTCTGCAAGGGGTAAATTTGTCTTTTTGGACAAAATTGTGGCATTTTTGTAAAAACTGAGCCAATTTTTCTCTGCAAGGGGTAAATTTGTCTTTTTGGACAAAATTGTGGCATTTTTGTAAAAATTGTGCAATAGTTGGGCCAATTTATGGTATTTTTGCAAATGTCCCAATAAATAAACATGGATTTGGAATTTCATTCTCCACTCTTTTTTTCTATAGTCAAAATGTATACAACCAAAATTCTATAATGAAAGTTTACGGTCATAATTATCATTACCAAGCAACCCCATGATATCAAAGCTAGTTTACTGGTATAAATCAAACAAATATTGTTGAATCTTTTTAGTAAAAGAAACAGCTAGTGTAACATCTTCTTCGATTTTTCTTTTTTAAAATGAGTCCAATTCACTATAGTAGCACTCAAAACTCGTTGCTACTACAAAAAAAAAAAAAAGATGTCCAAAAATTATTCATTTATAACATCTAAAGCAAAAATCATTTTTTCTGCGTTCATGATATATATACTTCGATCGATTCATAAATGTCGATTCAAAATATAATGCTTCTTTTAAAGTTCAGGTTCTTATCAATTTATACCTGGGTAAAATCAAAACAAGAATCTAATAAATTTTATTTTTATCAAAAGTTGAAATATAATAAGAATGAAGAATGAGAAATACCTTAAAATGCAACAAAAGAATTACGTGTGAAAATATTACATTTCAATTCTTTTTTTAAAATAACAAATTTTAGGTTTAGGAAAGGGTTTTTTTTTTGAAATATTTTTTTCATATATATATATGAAATTTGAGTATTTTAATTTAGAATGTTATGAATTTGGTAGTAGTTTCGGGAAACAAAACATGCATGAAATGTGTTATTTATAAGAATTACTCATAAAGTATTGCATGCTTTATTTTCGAAGTTCTAAATATTTTATAGAGCCAAAAAAGTATAATAAAATTGACTAAAAAGAATGTAACATTCGCGCACACAGTAAATAGCTAAAAAAGGATTGTTGAAATGCGCCAATATATAATAAATATTTTATATTGATATGTTCGATTATAACATCATCGTGATACAATCAATTACAAAACCAATTAATAATAGACAATAAATAATCTCATTGAACAAATGGAATAATTAATCATTTTGAATATGAGGATGTCGTGTGTATGTTATATACTCTAGGATTGGGTTTCATCATCACGTACGGCAACGTTCGATATTCTCGCATCCTCTATGGTAAGGGTTCGCTTGATGCTTCTTGCATGTCTCAGGGAATCGTTTATCACACATCCTGGCGTGATCTCCACCATCAAGGTCACGATAGTTGATGTATCTTCCGGCCTCAACCTTGGTTGCTGCAAGAGCCATGAACACAATGAGAGCAAGAGATAGAATCACTTTAAGACTTTTAGACATCCCCATATTATTATTGTTTTCCAAATAGATTAAATGTATAAATTCATGATAAAAGAAACTCCAGAGGAGTTTATTTTATGTTATTTATATATATTTAATACTATTTGGAATTGGCTCTGTGAGATATGAAGAAGAGGTAATTGGTGTTTATATAGTAGAGAAGATATGAGTTTTAGATTTGGCTATTTTTGGATGTGATTGGTAACCACATAGTTTTTAGTAATTAAAGGAATTTCGTCCTATGGAAGCAGTTAGATAGTTTATTTTTAGAAGTGATTAAGCTACAATAACACGAATTTACTAATATCCTTATTGATTTGATATTATTTTTAAGA